CTGGGTCAAGCAGGAATCATCTCACCCAGTTCCTGTCACTACGGCCTCCCTCCCAGCTCCCAATACATTCCAAGCAATTCCCCCCTCACCTTTTTTCCTTCTGCTGTCAGGTTGCAAGTAGAGGTGCGTCACAAGTCAGGCTTGACCAGTTGTAGGGCAGGGCAGGAGGTGAATCAGGAATGGTCAGGACAAAGGAGGAAAAAGGACAATGATTCCACCCAGGAGATTTCTGGATTGTTCCATACCCAGAGACAGAATCTTGCCAGATGGTCATCTACACCAGTGGTCCCCAACCATGTTTTGTGCCGCGGCCCGGTACCAGCATCACAAAATCATCCGCAGCCTGGTACCAGCATCACAAAATCATCCGCGGCCCGGTACCGGCATCAGCGCGCATGGCAAGGTGAGCCGAGTGACCGGCCAGCCAGCCATCCCCCGCTTCTCCCCGCCACCTTCAACTCCTCCTTTGTACCTGCGTCGATGGGCTTCGCGACGGCTTCGGGACGGCCGCTCGGCTCGCCTTGCCTTGGGTGCTGAAAGAATCCTCACGCCTTAGTTTCGTTCGAAGCCCCCCCCCCCCTGTGATGAAACTAAGGCGCGAGGATTCTTTCAGCACCCAAACGCCGCTTTCTACCCGGAAAAGCTCACCGGAAGCACTTTTTCATCAAAACAAGATGGCGGCGCCCAGCAAACTGACGGCCCGGTAGAAATCGTTCCACGGACCGGTACCTGTCCCCGGACCGGTGGTTGAGGACCCCTGATCTACACGATTCATACGATAAGGGAGGAGCTGCCCCGGCTCTCTTTCTCCCACAAGAACATCTATTCTGACCCAACCTGTTTCCAAGAGCCAACACAAGACAAAAGGCAGCAGCACAACTTATTTACTGTTTCGTTTGCGATCCCCGTTTCTTGCACAGAGAAAAAGTCTGTTTCCAACTCGTTAGCTCCGACAAGAAAGAGACCGGCCAAGTTTTTGCAAGGCTGCCAAACAACAACAGATAAAAGAGTTGACCGCACGAGAGTCTTGACATACCAACTGCGATGTCCAAGAGGCTGAGTTTGAAAACTTACGTTGCACAACTCCCTTTTCTCTCCTTGAAGGAAGGGCCATTACCTTGCGGCCTTACTCCGGAGTCACCCGTGCTGTTGTAGCTGCTCTTTCCTACGAGCAATCCTACGCGCACTTGGCACAGGCTCCTCGGGAACCTCCTCCTCGCTGCTGCTGCTGCCAGCGCCCACAATCTCTGAAGGCAGCAATCCGCTCCCTGATTGTCCTGGCTGCTCACCTGAGTCCTCGCTCTTCTCAGCTGTCCACACCTGCTGCCGGCCGACCGCAACAACATCTTGGCCAAGTTGCCTAAGTCAAGTCAAGGGAAGGACTAAGATTCCCATGCAAAAGGTTACAATGACCTGGAGGTGGGATTCAGCCGGTTCTGACCAGTTCTGGAGAACCGGTAGGGGAAATTTTGAGTAATTGGGAGAAGCGGCCAATCCCGCCTCTGACCGGCCCCGCCAACCCCATCTCTCTTCTCCGCCTCCCATCGAGTCCCAGCTGATCGGCTGGGTCTCCTTGGGTTGCCCTGCCCAGGAGAACGGAGCTGGAAAGCAGGTCAGTGGGGTGGGGAGGAAGGGGGATTTTGCAGTATATCTTTCCCTGCCACACCCACCAAGCCACACCCACCAAGCCACACCCACAGAACTACATGCCCACCAAGCCACACCCACAGAACTACATGTCCACCAAGCCACACCCACAGCTGATCGGCTGGGTCTCCTTGGGTTGCCCTGCCCAGGAGAATGGAGCTGGAAAGCAGGTCAGTGGGGTGGGGAAGGAAGGGGGATTTTGAAGTATATCCTTCCTAAGTTACTAAGGCTGCTACCCCCCAACCCGAAACCTCCCCCCACCCGCCTGAGAGCAAAGAGACCTGGAAATAAAAGAGGCTGTGGCCTTCCTCCTCGGCAGTGGCCTTGATGCTACAGGTAGTCCTTGACTTATAACCACAATTCAGAGCAGAATTTCGGCTTGGTTGTTAAGTGCATTGCCGCAGTTGTTAAGCGAATCACCCGATCGTTAAGCAAGTCACCTGGTCATTAAGCGAATCACCTGGTCATTAAGCAGATTACCCAGTCATTAAGCAAATTACCCGATCATTAAGCAAATTGCCTGGTTGTTAAGTGAATCACTTGATCATTAAGCAAATCACCCAGTCATTAAACAAAGCACCCAGTCATGAAGTGAATCACCTGGTCATTAAGCAAATCACCTGGTTAAGTGAATCACTTGGTCATTAAGCAAATCACCTGGTCATTAAGCGGATCACCTAGTCATTAAGCAGATCACCCATTCATTAAACAAAGCACCCAGTCATGAAGTGAATCACCTGGTCGTTAAGGAAATCACCCGGTCGTTAAGCGCATCCAGCTTCCCCCATTGACTTTGCTTGGCAGACAAGTTACAAATGATGCATCACGCGACCCCAGGACGGTGCAACTTGTCATAACTCCAGGCCAGTTGCCAGCTGTCCGAATACTGATCATGTGACCACGGGGAGGCTGCGACAGTTGTGACCGTGAGGTTGTAATGTAAGTCAAAACCTGGAAACGGGGGGGAAATTTCCTGACCGTGAGAACGATCAAGGCTTGGAGCAGAAGTGGTGGGAGCTTCTTCATCCCTGGAGGCTTCCAAGAAGAGACTGGACTGCCCTCGGTCAAGAATGGAGTGGCATCTCCCGCTTGGGCAGCGGGTTGGTCTAGATGATCCCCAAGGTCCCTCCCAACAGATTAACAATCTGTCTGTTTCAGTACTGTTGTAACTTTGAGCGGTCGCTAAATGAAGGATTGTAAGCCAAGGATAAGACTAAGCTAGAGTTCAGGGCCAACGGGGACAGATTAACAGAGTTGGAAGGGACCTCGGAGGTCATCTAGTCCAACCCCTGTAGATTCAGAAGATCCAGAAGGATTTCAACAGGCCTGAGCACAGGGACCCATTTAGCCAAATGCAATTCAAGGGTGAGAAAAAGAAGGTTCCAGAAAAACCAAAGAAAAACCAAACGCCCAGGGAGAGAAACGGGAAACCTGGCTTAATGGTGGTTATTGCCAGCAAGATGTTCGGAGTCTTCGTGGATGATCACTTAAACACGAGCCGAGCAGTGTGCGGCAGTGCCAAAAAACCAATGCAATCCTAGGTTGCATTAATATAGGGATACAATCGACATTGAGGGAGGTACCAATAACCACCACTGTGTAAAGCCTTAGTAAGGCCACCCCTAGAGTCCTGCATCCAGTTTTGGTCACCACACTATAATAAAAAGATGTTGAGACTGTAGAAAAAGTGCAGAGAAGAGCAACCAGGATGAGGAGGGGACTGGAGGCTGAAACATACGATGGACGGTGCAGAAACTCTGTGTGGCTAGTCTAGTCTGTCTGTCTACCCATCTTTACTGGGGACTGGAGACTGGTTGCAGGAATTGGGCATGGCTAGTCTAGTCTATGTGCCTGTCATGTCTGTCAATCTATATCTGTCTATATCATCTCTTTTTTTGTGTCTATCTTTCTGTCTGTCTATATCTCTTTGTCTATCTCTACAATCTTAGCTATATCGCTTTGTCTGTCTATCTATCTATCCATCCATCCATCTATCTATCTATCCTATCATCTATCTATTATCTATCTATCTATCTATATCTCATGTCTATCTATCATCTATCTATCATCTATCTATCTATCCATCCATCATCTATCTATTCTATCTATCTATCCATCCATCCATTATCTATCTATCCACCATCATCTATCTATCTATCTATCTATCTATCTATCTATCTATCTATCTATCTATCTATCTATCTATCTATCTTCTTCTTCTTCTTTTTCTTCAGCGTTTGTCTCGCGCTCGGGCGAGGTCCGCTAATGTCCTTGAGTACTGCTTCCACGCCTCTCTGTCTGCCACGTGTGTCGGGTCTGCCTTCGCGATCTCTAGATCGGCCTTGATCGTGTCCATCCAGCGTTGTTTAGGTCTACCACGCGGTCTCGCTCCTCCGACAGTCACCTTCATTACAGATTTGATGATGGATTCTTCCTTGGCGCGGCTCACGTGGCCGAACCATCGTAGCCGGGACTGCCTCATGACCGTGGGGATGGGCACGACGTTGAACCGTCTACGCACTTCTTCGTTCCTGACGCGATCGAGTAGGGTGAGGCCTACCGACCATCGGAGCATTCGCATCTCCATTATCTGGAGTCTGCTTTCGACTTCTTTGGTCGTCGGCCAGCACTCTGCGCCGTATATGGCCACGGGGCGCACCACATCTATCTATCTACCTATCTATCTATCTATCTATCTATCTATCTATCTATCTATCTATCTATCTATCTATCTATCTATCATCTATCTATCTCTGTGTGCCTGTCCCCTGTCTGTCTATCTATCCATCTATAGCGGGGACTGGAGGATGAAACATACGATGGACGGTTGCAGGAACTAGTGAAGAGAAGGACCGGGGGAGACAGGAGAGCATCTTCCAATATTTGAGGGAGGGGCTGCCCCAGAGAGGAGGAAGGGGGTCAAGCTGTTTTCTAAAGGACCCGAAGGCCAGACAAGGAACAATGGATGGAAACTGAACAAGGAGAGATTCAACCTGGAA